TGTGCTCCGCGGCTCTAGCACTTGCCAGAAGCGGCCGACGGAGGCCCCCTCCCCCGCCGTCTATCCTCCCGAAGATCGCCTCGGATTCACTTCTCCGCACGTCCTACCTTCCAGAAAGTGGTCGCTTCTCTGTTCAGAGAGTTGTTGCTACTCTCCTCTTCGGTCTCCCGTTGAGTTCGTAGGTGTTCAGAATGGTTTGATCCCTATTCAGCTGAACTCCTGAGACCAGACGGAATCCAGGTCTCCTATTCCTCCGCCATCTTGCTCCGCCCACCCCTGCATTCAACTTTTCTCTCATTTCCAGATGGAATCACGTACTTACATTTTGTTTTGCATTGGCACGGATTTTTTTTCCTAATACAACTAGAGCCAATTCTATTTTTCTTTGTTGGGAACCCATTTCCTAAATTTCTAAGAAGCATGTAAGAAAGGCCTTCTGAGGTTGAAAGTGATTCAAAACTGAAGCAGTTATTTATGATAATATTTCTCTAAGGCAAATGTGCTTCCTACAAAATGGATTTTGGGGTATTAAACTGTAAGTGATTTCCTTGATCTTGCAGAGAACTAGATTCACGTGTCCTGCTTGCTATTACTCTTCAGTGTGGTGTCCTTCCTGCTCGGGGAACCTTACCTTGTGTTGAGTATTAACAGGTGTAGACATACATACAAACAGGTCTGGGAGGTGTTTGATTCCAAAGCAAATATATGCTTGCTTGACACATTTGCTGTGGCCAACCAGTTGTGGGCACTGCTTGGTAGAGCTTGAGGCTCCTAGTTGTTAGTCTTGATTGATTAGAATCAGATGTGGTTTAGGGGCACCTGGGTGGCTCAGTCGGTTAGGCGTCTGACTTCAGCTCAGGTCGTGGTCTTGGGGTCCTGGGATCGAGCCCTGCACTGGGCTCCCTGCTCAGCGGGGAGTCTGCTTCTCCCTCTCCCTCTGCCCCCCACCATGCGTGCACACTCTCTCTCTCCCTCTCTCTCAAATAAATCAAATCTTGAAAAAGAAACCGATATGCTTTAGCTGTACTAAAATGTGGACCATCTAAAAGACCTTTTAGACAGTTTCAGGGTGTGGTGTGTAGGAGGAATTTGGAGGCCATACCTAACTGCTCTCTAGAAACAGTAAGTCTAAGGTAGATAGCGGGTGCATGTGAGATTTATGCAACTTGAATCCTTAAAAAGTTCTCCATCTTCTCAATCTGTCTTACCCTACTCATCGTTTAAGGCCCAGGTCAAATGTTGCCTCCCTTAGGAAAGCTCTCTGACTCACCTGGGAGGCTCATGCAACCTGAGTACTTGTTCTCGACACCTGTTGGGTGCCTGGCAGGTATCTGGGTAGAGCACGCAGCACACCACACAGAGTTCTCATTAGTATGAATAACTCCCCTATAGCACATGGAGCCCTCAAGGGCAGGAGACTCTGAGTCATCTCTGAATTCTTGGCACCAGCACAAGCTTGGTATAGAGCGGGTATCAATAAATATCTGTTCCTTGACTGTTGAATGGAAATAGGGGGACCCAAATAAAACTGCCCCGTAGATGTACTTGTTCCTGAAGAATAGACAATAAGACGAAGATTATCATCTGAAGTTACTTGTATACATTTTGACTTCTTTAAGCTGCATGTGTCCTGAAAACACTCTTGAGAGTTTCCTACCTCAGCCTGTTAAGGCCATCATATGGTGCTCAAGGTAGGCACAAAATCAACATAGTGTCAAAGTCAGGTAGGGGAGTGAGAGATTTCCATTCAAGACCAACTTCCCCCTATATTAGCAGTGTGGTCTCAAGAAGTCTCAGCCTCTGGTGAACTTTCTTATCTTATCCGTAAAATGGGCTTGAGCGCGATGCGCTTGTCCTGCAGGGTAGTTGAGGGGATTGCTAAGAAGCATAAAAATGCAGGTACCTGGGTGACTCAGTCGGTTAAGCGTCTGCCTTCAGCTCAGGTCATGATCCCGGAGTCCTAGGATCGAGCGCCACATCAGACTTCTTGCTCAGTGGGGAGCCTGCCTCTCCCTCTCCCTCTGCCCCTCCCCCTGCTTGTGCTCTGTCAAAGAAAAAAGAAAAAAGCATTAAAATGCCTTTGTAAACTGTAAATCGCCACAGAAGCAATTACCTTACAGCTGGCTGGACCTCATTTTAATGCCTTCCTAGGAAAGGTGGCCTGAGAAGCCAGGACCATCTCTGAAGAGAGTTGCAGGCAGTCCCTGGACAAACATGGAAGGGCCTGGAAAGCAGTCTCGTGAGTACCATTTCTTTCATGGGTTGGGTTTTCCTCCAAGACCAGAGTGGGTTTCTGTCAACCGCGCTCAAATGCAAGGCCTGGTGCGGCTCCCAGAACGGCGTCCTGTGGCCGCACTGGAGATGTGCTCTAACGGTACGTGCTCTTCCTCCAAGAACAAAATCTGCCTTTTAGAAATAGCACTTGTTTTCAACTTCACCTTTGGCCATTTTGGAAAACAATTTGTGACCTTTTATTAAGCAAACAAGCCTAAGTGGATCTTACCAATTTAAGACCGATGAAAGGTACTGTGCCCTTTCAAACAGTTCTGGAAACGTTCACTCTGCTTTCTGAGTGAGGCTCGTTTGCTGCTGGAGCAAGGACAAAACCCGGCAGCCAAGGTTGCAATCAGTAATCTGGGGCATCTGGGTTTGGCCCGTGTTGCACCTCACCATCTCGAAATCATTCATTCCTTCTTTTTTCTCCACTATGAAAGTTTTCAAAGATGGGTAGAGAGAATAGTATGAGGAGCCACGATTTTTCCTGCCCCGGTTTCAAGGATTGTCAACTATTTGACACCCTTGCTTAATCTTCCTCTTTTCCATCAACAAATTATTGCTCTGCTCTTTCAAAACATGTTCCCAACATCTCATCCTTTTGCCTCCTAAATAAACTTGTGTGTGTCTATCTAAGAAATGAGGACATTTCCTTACAGAATCACACTGTTACCACCCCAATGAAATGAGTAATTCCTTGCTACTTTGTAGTGCTTTGTGCATGTTCCAGTGCCCTTGGTTGTCTCAAAATGCTCTGTCTACACTGTAGAGATCTCACTGTCACCCCCCCATGACGTCATGGGCCTCCTGATGTGATGGGACTCTGAGCACACTTGCCCCGTGGAGTGTTCGGACTTTCTAAACTGAATCCAACCAAGCCTTTG